AAACTGCTGTCGATCTTGCTGTGACCCCCTAGGAAAAGGTTATGCCCCGCCCTGTATAGGTTTACTCAGATATCACACTTCATGGAGGAATTGCTCACCATGATTATTTTGCAATGTATATGCGAACTTAGTGACTTCACTACAGGTCTTCTATCTAGTGTGAAACTCTGACTCTGGTTTTTCCTTCCTTTTCTTTTATCTCTTTCCCATCTTTCTGTTTTGTTTTGATGTAGTGTCATTTAGATTGTAAACCTCGGGCAGAAATACCTTCTTTTCATTGATTGAACCTGTGTGAGGTTTTTTTTTTCCATCTTTAGAACAGGTTATAAATACTTTAGATGGTAGATAAACACAGTCGCGATTTTAAGACAATTTGTGCTATTTGCTCTAAGAACAATCTTCTCTGTTTCATTGTTGATAAAATGGCACAGTGTATCAAATATCACAGGGATAAAAGTAACATAAATATTTAATTTAGAATAATAGTGAAAAAGCCCGAATATATGTTGTCAGATGTATGAATATTATTGTAATGGCCACTGAACTAAGGTCACAGAGACACAAATTCAATTGCATTTGGGCCACGGAAGTTCATTGGGTGACTATGGGTCAGCTCAATCACTCAGCTCAACCTATCTCCCAGGACTGCTGTGGAGAAAATTGAGGGAAGAAGGGTTATGAAGCAGCCTTGGGCTTATATTTATTCCTGATAAATATAGGCATTGCAATTTCCATATTTATGAAAACCACAATGGGAAAAATATCTCCAAAATGTCAAACAGAAAAGATCTGAGTGTCGTATTGCTGGCAACCTATTTCTAATCTTCGAATGACTTCACCCAATTCTGATGTTCTTTTTTAATGTTACAGATATTGAACCACAAAAATAGAAGAAGGCCATTGTTCCCACGAAAGACACGGATATGTAATAATAAAATGGATTTTTACCCTGCATGAAGCAGTATCATCAAACCTTACTAAAATAACAGGGTGATCGCAAATTTTCTAAGAGGCCACTGTGATGTATCAAGCAGATGCCATTGGTAAAGAAAATAACTGACAGGTTAATAAAATTAATTTCTTTTACTAGTACTGAATAAAAGGATAGGACATATCACCTACAGTAATAGCTGCCCCTTCAGCATTACAAGTACTTATTGTGTGACTTTATTCTTTGTTAGCCTTAATCATTCTCTTTTTAAAATAGTTTTTCTTCATATTGTATCTTTCATATGCTTAGCCTGCATATGAACAATGGAACAATACTACTTATTTCAAGAGTATAACTTTTACCTGAATCATTGTATTACTTTTCCATAATTAAAGAGTTATTCAGTAGGGTTAGTGATTCAACAACTATATGTTTACAAGAAGCTTAAAATATGCAGGTATTATATTGCGTGTAATGCATTATTCTGCAGATTAGGGACAGGTAAGGAAGGTACCTACGTGACCAGACCTGATTTTTTTGACAATCCAAATCACACAAGCATTAAGCAAATCCATTCTCCACAATTCAGGTTTTTCCCTGGAAACCAGCAAAAAAAATGTCACCAATAGCCGTCACATGACTATAGAACACTGCAACCAGTTGTAAATACTGAGCCATTGCAAAGCGCATGAAATGTGATCATGTGATGGGGGGAAGAAGAGGATGTTTCACAACAGCCATAAGCATTTTACGGGCTATTAAAGAATTGACCCTAAGTCTTCAAGATTAGAAAAGATGTATATTTAACTGATTTTACTTTGCTTCATTCATGGAATTTTATAGACAATCCAACAATATGGTCTTCTTTCTAAGCCTTCCATTGTTTTTCTATTTCCTTCCTATTTAAACATGTATAAAAGAAGTGAGGGGAAAATCTATTATATTTTTCCGATAGTATTAACGCTTCATGAATCATCCTTGGACTAAGAGTTGCAAATTTATATATGTGTGTGTGTGTGTGTGTGTGTGTGTGTGTGTGTGTGTGTGTGNCAGTTCCACCCATCCAATTCCGGTCAGGTGTAGAGATGCAAAGACAAAGGATGACCTTGGCATTTTAGAAATAATTTTTTTGTGGCTACATACTGTGTTTCCCCGAAAATAAGACAGGGTCTTATTTTCTTTTGACCCACAAAATATGGCTTGGGCCTTATTATCAGGGGAGGGCTTATTGTTTTGGGGTTGCCGGGCGGCTACTCTCTTGCAAGCGGGCTCCCAAAGAGCCAGGCACAGCCTCAGGGTCGAACGGCTGTGTTGCGCTGTTGCAGAAGCACTACACAGCAGCCATGAGGTGACCACGCTCACAAGCAGCCTTCCAACAACCCTCCTTTCCAGCCAGGCACAGCACCATTCACTGACTTAGGGATATCGCCAAGCCGCGTGAGCGCCTGTTCACCACGCTCCGGCTCCTGCGGCTTGGCGCCTTCGGAATGCCCCTAGGTCAATGAATGGGGCTCTGCGTGGTTGGAGAGGGGAGTTGCGCGAGTAGCTTTTCTGCTCCCCACTCGCGCGACTCCCAGGCTGACGATGTCCTTGCCTAACTGTCCCTGCAGAGCCAGGGCATCTTGCTGCTGCCGCCGCCACCACTGCTACTTTTTCTGCAGCTTCCAAAGCACGGGGGTAGGATGCCGAGTCTTCTCACAGTTGCCGCTCTGGGAGTACACTCTATGGTTGTGGGCTGGCTGCTGGCAGAGCATACTCCCAGAGCATACAACCATAGAGTGTACTCCCATAGCAGCAACTGCCGGAAGACTCGGCATCCTACCTCTGTGCTTTGGAAGCTGCAGAAAACGCCATGCGGCAGCGGCGAAGAACAGCAAGATGCCCTGGTTCTGCAGGGACAGTTAGGCAAGGACATCATGAGCCTGGGAGTCGTGCGAGCGGGGCGCGGAAAAGCCACTTGCTCAACTCCCCTCTCCAGCCATACAGAGCCCGATTCACTGACCTAGGGGCATTCCAAAGGCGCCAAGCCGCGGGAGCCGGGGGGCAGCGAACAAGCGCTCACGCAGCTTGGCGATACCCCTAGGTTAGTGAATGGCACTATGCTCGACTGGAAAGGGGGGTTGCTGGATGGCTGCTCGTGAGTGTGGTCACTTCATGGCTGCTGTGTAGTGCTACTATGACAGTGCAAGACAGCCGTTCGACCCTGAGGCTGTGCCTGGCTCTTCGGGAGCCCGCTCGCAAGAGAGCAGCCGCTTGGCAACCCCCCTCTCCAGCTGGGCACAGCGCTGCTCACTGACCTAGCAGTATCCCGAAGGCACCAAGCAACGCAAGCCTTTGCCCTCCACCTTGTTCCCGTGGCTTGGCACCTTCGGGATACCGCTAGGTTGGTGAGCGGTGCTCTGACTGGCCGGAGGGGGGGTTGTCCAGGAGGCTTATTTTCAGGGGAGGGCTTTCATTTTTGTCCACCCAAAAAATGTGGCATGGCCTTATTTTCAGGACATGCCATATTTTCGGGGAAACATGATAGTCTGTGACTCCTTACAATCCCCCCTCCCATTTTCCTGCAATAGAAAATGCATAGCAGAATAATGGAAATTGTAGCAGACCAAAGAACCAAAAGTAAATATGGCTGCAGACCTGACAGTAACATTGGTAGGAAACTGATTATTCTATTCCATTTAAATTTGGTTTAGGGACTAAAACAATCATGATTCCACCAGGGGATTCAAACCAGGGCGAAAGCAGCAGGAATTCAATTCTGTTCTATTATAGTTGACATTATGCTCTGCTTTGACATAGGCTATGTCTTCTCTTAATGGTACTTCTACTTGGTCCTCTTCTAGCAACTGAAAATCTGTTCCTTTATTAGTACCTTCCCCTCTTCTACAGTTGCAGTCAAAAGGAATTGCCATAGGACAATTGTGGTAAATGTTGTCGGTAGTAGATATTCCTACTTATACTTGCAAGTTTGGATTGTTTCACAGAATAACTTGAAAATTGAAGATGGAGAAGACCTCCAGCATGATTTCGAACGGTTAAAGCAAGCCATGGAAATGGTTGGTTTTCTTCCAGCAACAAAGAAACAGTAAGCTATAATTCAGCTGTCTCCTTTCAGTTTTCAGACACGCACAGAAGGATACACCATATATTATATGATGCCATTTTCCATTAATGTACTAAATGAAACTAATCAAAGGGCAGAAAATTATGTTAAACACTCATAGGTATTAACTCTTGCCTAAATAAATGTACATTCTTATCATACTCTAATGGACAAATGTATATGACACTCAGTAAACATATTCTTCATCTGAAAAATACACTAGCCTGCTTTTCACTTTCACAGAATTTTTTCAGTGCTTTCTGCTATTCTCTACCTGGGAAATGTTACTTACAAGAAAAAGGCAGCAGGTCGAGATGAGGGCCTGGAGGTGGGACCTCCTGAAGTGCTAGATATTCTCTCACAGCTTCTGAAGGTACCTCACATCTTTCTACATTATAATTATTGTGTTGGGCAGAGAAGACCCCCCCTGATCATTGGGCACAAAAAAAGATCATTCACTTTACCCCTGTTAAATAGCATTGAAAAAATGCATATAAGAATGCAGTGGTACCTTAGTACTCAACTGCTTTGAAACTCATCGAATTTGGTACTCAATGCATTTTGATGTCAAAATTTTGTCCCAGTACTCATCGTTTGTTTGGTACTCAACGCACAAGCTAGAATTTGTCAGTGTTGGCTGCCTTGTCACTCACGACATTATTCCTTATGGGAAAAATTTGTTTGGTACTCATAGTTTTTGGTATTCATCGTGCCTCCTGGAACCAATTAATGATGTGTGTGTGTGTGTGTGTGTGTGTTTATTTGTGCTGATAAATAAATAAAGGGAGACTAGTATAGATCTATTTCAAGCTATTTAGCTCTCATCAGCTAGCCATACCCTTACTGGGATTTGAACCTGGGCTATATGGCATACTAGGCACACCAGGCAGATGCCATAAAGCCCAGGTTCAAATCGCAGTAAGGGTATGGCTAGCTGATGAGAGCTAAATAGCTTGAAATAGATCTATACTAGTCTCCCTTTATTTATTTATCAGCACAAATAAAAAAACACACACACATATATATGTGGCTTCGCTGATAACAGGATAAGAGCCTGTGGCCTAATGGCTAAGATATCTGCCTAGTATGTAATATAGCCCAGGTTCAAATCCCAGTAAGGGTATGGCTAGCTGATGAGAGCTAAATAGCTTGAAATAGATCTATACTAGTCTCCCTTTATTTATTTATCAGCACAAATAAACACACNTTCCTCAGGCAAAATGGGCCAAAAAAAGAGATTTAACTGACACTGAAAAGTCAAAAATTGTAAAAAGTCTTTCAGAGGGATGCAGCTCTCTTGAAATTGCTAAGAGATTGGGGTGTGATCACAGAACCATCAAATGTTTTGTTGCAAATAGTCAACAGAGTCGTAAGAAACATGTTGAGAAAAAAAGACGCACATTAACTGCCAAAGATTTGAGACGGATCAAAGGTGAAGCTACCAGGAACCCATTATCCTCCAGTGCTGTCATATTCCAGAACTGCAACCTACCTGGAGTGCCCAGAAGTACAAGGTGTTCAGTGCTCAGAGACATGGCCAAGGTAAGGAAGGCAACACAACCACCACTAAACAAGACACATACATTGAAATGGCAAGACTGAGCCAAGAAATATCTGAAGTCAGATTTTTCAAAGGTTTTATGGATTGATGAGATAGATGAGAGTGACTCTTGACGAACCAGATGGATGGGCCCATGGCTGGATCAGTACCAGGCATAGAGCTCCACTTCAACTCAGACGCCAGCAAGGTGGAGGTGGGGTACTGGTATGGGCTGGTATTATTAAAGATGAGCTAGTTGGACCTTTTCGGGTTGAAGATGGAGTCAAAAACAAATCCCAACCCTACTGCCAGTTTGTAGAAGACTATTTCTTCAAGCAGTGGTACAGGAAAAATTTCTGCAACTTTCAAGAAGACCGTGATTTTTATGCGGGACAATGCTCCATCGCATGCATCGAAGTACTCCACTGTGTGGCTAGCCAGTAAAGGCCTTAAAGATGGAAGAATAATGACATGACCCTTTCCTCACTTGACCTAAACCCTATTGAGAACTTGTGGGCCCTTCTTAAACAGGAGAGTTATGGTGAATGAAAATAGTACACCTCTTGGAACAGTGTCTGTGAGGCTGTGGTTGCTGCTGCACAAAAAGTTGATTGTCAACAGATCAAGAAACTGACAGATTCCATGAATTGAATGCTTATGACTCTTATTGAAGAGAAGGGTGGCTATATTGGTCACTGATTTTTTGTTTGTCAGAAATGTTTATCTGTACATTTTGAGTTTGTTTATTCTCACTTTAACAGATGCAAATAAATGAGTGAGATGAACAAATTTTCATTTTTCATTTTGTTACCCAATAATTGTGCATAGATATTCTCCTAAGAAAGCCAAAACCTCACATTTACTTTCTTAAATATTCAGGGTTGAGGTTTATTAACATTTTGGATTGACCGAGAACACTGTAGTTGTTCAATAATAAAATTAATCCTCCAAAATACAACTTGCCTAATAATTGTGCACACAATGTACATGCCTGAAATTGCCACCCCTTTTCTAGTAAGCCATGTCTTCTCACAAATTTTTTCTTCAGACTTGTCTCCCTAATTCAAGATTTTTAACCTATCCATATATAGCTTCTTTATGTTTCCTTGCCATCTTATTTATATAATTCATGGACATCTTTTTTATCTTATAACTGTTATTCTTACCAGTCTGTACCTTTATAAACTACTCGGCAAAACTGTATCACATCACAGATGTTTACTAACTGTTCAGTACTGATAAAAGTTAACATATCATGATGTTTTGGATGTGCTTTTAATAAAGCTTTGTACATATTGAGCTAGTTTCCCATGTTGTTTTTATAAAATAGGTGCATAGTCTCCAAGTTGATTGAATTTGGTGTATTAGTGATTGCAATTCTGGGTTCTATTTTGTACAGAAGTATCAATAATGCTGTACTAAAAATTTAAATAAAAGTGTATTCTATTGCATGATGTTAATATTATGTTAGCACAATAAAGTCTGGTTTCATGACAATCTAAAAATCTCATGTGAGAAGGAAGGGTAAAGGAATGATACAGAGTTGGAAGGGACCTTGTAGGTCATCTAGTCCAACCCCCACCCCACCCAAGCAGACCCTACACCATTTTTGACAGATGGCAGTCCAGTCTCTTCTTGAAAGCTTCCAGTG